CAGACTGAAAATACCGTTTTTGATCTGTGGTTGGTTGAATACTCTGATGCAAAACCCAGGGATTCTGAAGGCCAACTGTATATTTATTGGAAAAAAAAAATCCGAATATATGAGAATCCACACAGTTCAAACCGGAGTTATTCAAAGGTCAACTATATATATTTTTGAGTGAGGAGTTTAAAAAGTTACAGATCTCTTTTGAGCTTTTCTGCCAGATTGTCCCTCTCTGAATGAGGAAGTATACATCCTTAAGGAATCATGATATTTGGGTTAGCCTCTCAATTTTCCCAGGCCTCTACCAGGTGAAAAACAGACCCTATCTGAAAATCTAGCTTCTTCAAAATTCTTGGTAAAATTTTGGATTGACTTCCTACACAGGGCTATCCTTTCTGCTTCTAAACAGAAGTCTGTAGCTCATTCAGAGAAGAATTTTATTCTGGTTGCAAGTTGTTGAATCATATACAAAAATCTCAACCTGTCCTTAAAATACTCACAGCTATCCCCAGGTCTTTCTACATTGGTGTATATCTTTTCCAGACCATCAGTCTCAGGCCCATAATACCATCTGTTTTTTGTGCCTCAAATCTGAGCCTAAACCAAAGTCCCCAAGAAGCTACTGCACAGGAAAACATTCCTAATCTCCAGCCAGCATTAGGAACAATGCTTATTCCCAGGGTGGAGGCGACAGCAGGACTAAGACCCAGAAAGAAGAGTCATTTCCTCAATAAAGTCACCAGGTCTCCAAAAAACATAGGACTCATTTGATGCCACACTTCTTTTTCCTAACGTTCATTTTCTTAGATGCTTCCTGATGTTTGTTTTCCTATTTATTAAATGTGAAAATAACCATATTGCTGAAAATCCTTGTAATATATGCTTGAATGCCTTAAATAAAAGGCTCTGTAGTAATACAATTCTAGAGTTCAACTCTACATCTAGGACCGGGTGGCCAACTTCTTTCAAAAGTGCTTCCAGGGACCTCTAAATGACTCTTTAGACTTGAGAATAAGAGCCGTTCTAGTGAAGGAAAAACCGCTAAGCTTCTCTTTAGGTCAGTGCCACTGGCGCCACCCCGAACCCCCTGGTAGTCTACCACTTGGTTTTGTGTTCAGTAGGATTAAGGTGTTTTGGATTAAGACCTTGACATAAACACAAACATAGCTACATATACACAACAACAAAAGTGACTTTTAGTAGAGTTCAAGGTAAAAGTTTTAGGCAGAAGTGATAGAGACAATAAGCCTAGATACGCTCTAGGAAAAGAGTATTTGCCCAGGTATAGCCCAGAATTGTGACACTTATGACACAGCACGTCTGGAATAATCTGAATGACTAACATTACAGTCTATTATTTCAGAAAAGTTATTTAAAAAAAAAAACCTATGGCCTCACACCATGTGTAATGTGGGTGAGGTAGCAAACTTGTGAGAATGTTCACTTCTGCATTTCCTGATTCAGGAAGAGGTGGGTGGGGGTCTAAAATGTCCTATGCCTATTAGTGATTCTGTATGCGCTTGGTCTAATACTGGTTTCTTGGGCAAAAGAGAAGTGGTCAAAAGTTATCAATCTGCCCTAGCCAGTTTGGCTTAGTGGATAGAGCGTCTGCCTGCAGACCGAAGGGTCCCGGGTTCAATTCTGATCGAGGGCACATGTCCGGGTTTCGGGCTCGATCCCCATTGGGGGGCATGCAGGAAGCAGCCGATCAATGATTCTCTCTCATCATTGATGTTTCTGTCTTTCCCTCCCCCTTCCTCTCTGAAATCAGTATATATATATAATGTTTTAAAAGTTATCAATCTTATATGCTGAGTACAGAACACATTCAAAATTTTGTTCAGGTCCTCAAAGAATCAATAAACCATTTTCCTTTTAGATAACTAAATCAGGTTGTCTTGTATCTTGAATCCATAAATTCATAAAAAATATAGAGGATCATTTTCTCTGATTCGAAAATTCTTGGTTTCGGGGGTACTTAACACGAATCTCTGAAATCCTATCCTCTGTGTGGGCATTTAAGACCCAGGAGCCACATTTTAGAATAGAGCATTGTCCTGGTTCCGCAAAACACAGTTTATAAACCAACAGACATTTGCTGGAGCACCTTAACCAAGCCCAACAGTCGCTCTAGTTTATAAAGAAGTAAATCTGTGTTAGCACATACAAATATATTGACTATCAGCATAATTGGGCCATACAGTTTATATACAGTTTAAGAGGCCAATGAGAAAGAAAAGCTCATAAAACAAGGCTGCTGCCTTCTGAGTACAAAGCCAGCCGAGCATGTGCCTGGGCATCGGTGGTGGCTCTCCGACAGTCACAGCTCAGCAGCAGGAGCAGAAGTGCAGGGAAGTTTGTTGCGTAAAGCAGAGGGAGCCTCTCACAGCGGCGCCTGGAAACGCCGTGCTGTAAGGAAGCGGTAGTAAATAAGCTTAGAATGAGGACTGGAGAGGGCCGGTGTGGAGCTAAGGTATGAATAAATACAGCTGAGTTTCTCCATAATTTAGGGCAAAGACTAGAAAGAAAGGAATCGTAAACTACCCCATTGGGGAGAACTGAGAGTGTGATAACAGAGAGGTGTTAAGGGGCATTAGGGACAGTAAAAAAAAAAAGGGGGGGGGAGGAAAGTCGGGGTGCTGAGTATTGAGCAGCACTACTGGGAGGGCTGTCCTGCCGGGATAATGAAGGGAGAGGGTGTAAAGTAGGGCCAGGCATTGTCGGGGGTAAACTCTGGGCAAGACTGTGGGGACGTCAGCAGCTAAGAAAAGAGAAGGCGCCGGGTCGGGGCGTGGCCCCGAGAGGGACCGGCTCCATAGCGGCCCGCGGGCGAGGGGAAAAAAGGGGGGGGAAGGCCTCTTCCCGACAGCCGCTCTCGGGCGGGGGGTTCCCGAACGGGTTAAACACCCGGGGCCCGGCGCCCACGGGGAAAAAAATCGGGTTTCAGGGAAAAGGCCTCCAAAAAGTTCCCGCCGGCGAGCCGGTACCTCTTCCCCGGGGGGGGGAGGGAGGGGGGGAGGGAACCCCAGGCCCC